AATCAAAGAAAACAGTCAGCATCACTGACGTTGCTGCGCACTTGGCGGGCCTTCTTTGGTCTTGGTGACGTGGAATGCTTCCACTGTGACGACTGGGATTTGGTTTCCGGGTCGTACCCGTACACCCAAGACTCGTCACCAGTGATTATGGTGTTCATGAAGTCGGGGTCACTGTTTGTGGAGTCCAGCATGTCCTGTTGAGACTTCAACACGAAGTTCCTTTTGCTCTGCCGTAAGCAGCTTCGGCACGAATTTCGCCGCCACTCTCTTCATAGCCAAATCTTCGGTCATAAGCTAGTCTTCCATGTTATTTAAGATTTTATGGTGTAAGCTGACAGTCACCAACCAGTTTCTATTTCTTGGAATCTCTAGAAAAAGTAGACAAAGATAGGCACATAACAATAGATAAGTGGATCATCATTATTTCTTCAACATCTGTAATTAGTATCCTATGAATCATCTAATTAACATTTTATTTGTTTCAATTACACTTTTCACAAGTGGTTGTTACAGACAATGAGAAATACGGAAACTTGCTGATTCTGTTTAACTCAATCAGTTAATGGTCACTTTACCATTTAATGTCACTTATGTGGTCTCTCAAATGCTTTGTAATTCAAATATCTATTTAAAAGCATCATGGTTGATAATAGTGACAACAGATTCTATATGGAGAACAAAATCATATTTTAAAGAAAACTGAATTATAAGGTGAGAGAAAGCTAATATGTCTTGAAAATCAGTCTTCTCTTTCACAACTCGTTGATAGTTCTCTCTTACGTCTCTTTATATATTACCTATAACCAATAGAAAGTAAAGGTTTTCATCTATCAAATGACGTATTGTATTGTATAACGTGTTCTGAACAGAATATTGTTAATTTCACTCACAGTACAAGGTTCGTTCCTGTGGGAAAGTTAATGACTTGCTTGGATGAATTTGTAATGGCTCTTGTCGCACAGTTAGAAACCCAGAAAAATTTTGAGAGGTAAGTGAATTTGTTTACATTTTGCATGTTATTAGTCATTATCTTTGGTGCATTATTTAATTAAATAAAAATTATTAAATGCATTACTATCATTACTAAAAAAATCAGGCTTAACTGTCCTTTACAATCAAGGGTAATAAAAAACAAGATTGGGTTAGTACTTTATTTCTTGTTTTTCATATTTATTCTTTATTTATTATTATAAAACTAACTAAAATCTAAAAATACAGATATTTTTAAGTTATTTAAGACTAGATTAGGTAAAATAAGTAATAATATTAATATAATAAAAATGATTCATAAAGCACGCACGTGAGCAGCTCGTCGGTAATTCAGTATCGTAACACGAACTGTACGTTCCACGAGTGATTTACAATGTATAGTGGCACAGACAGTTGTTAGACATGGTTAAAAGGGCAATAAAACAATAAAATTTAATTATAAATAGATGTATACTGTTATGAACTTAGAGCTACTTAGGATAAACAAATGTCATTCTAGAAGGGAAAAAAAGGTAATTTAGGTTTATTTCAATTTTTTTTGTGTGGTTAGAAGGCCAGGCAAATTGACCAATCCCATTTTTGAGATAGGGTAGAGAAAATAACAGATAAACTATAAAGTTTTTCTGAAGATGTTTGAGATGAGGACAAGTATTTTTAATTTGAAAATTACTTTGCACATGGACTATTCAAAAAAATACTCAATATATTCATGAAAAAATCTTTATTTTATTAAAAATACTTCACTAAAAGAAAGATTTTGTATGAGAAAGATTTATAATATGAACTGAAAGACTGCCAAATTTTGTGAAAGCTAGAAGTATTAAATCTATAAAGATTTATCAAGTACAAAGAGGTCACGTGGTTGGTCAAATTGACCAACTTCGCATTGAGAGAGTTAAAAGTTAATTATTTTAGAAGCGAAAGTTATGACAGGTTTTGTTACATAACTTTGTATTAGTTGTACGTTGTGTATGCAGTTTAATTGTTATACTAGGCTTTTGTAATATTTTTAATGTCATCTTACTCGATACTTGAAGCTTCTGAGTTTTCTCATTACATTTAATATTTTTGTTACTAGAGGGCTAGATATTTCGAGATTTTTCTGTTGCTTATTATAAATACATGCAGATACAGAAGTAAGTTAGTGAAAAAAGTGAAGTTAGACTGCGTGATTATCAACTTAGCCATGACAGGTGATTTCTAAAGTGAAAGTATCAAAGCTCGTATTGTAACGGCAAAAACAAAGAATGATAATTCATCTTGTCAGTTGGGTTCTAAAGTAATTGAACTAGCCTGTGTGGACTTTTGATGAAAATGAGAATTATTAAAAGCCGTAGATTCAACTATGGTAAGCAATAGTGTAACAAATTTTTGTACTGACATTGGCAAGCCAGCTAGGGGGGGATGGGATATCTCGCTTATTTGGGGAATTTGGGTCATTGGTACCATGACATATTGTCCCTTCAAATTCATCTCTTAGAACTTTTGGCAGTACATTGAAACTTGGATTTTTTTTAGGATGGTTAGTAAATGTCTTTTTCATGATACATACAGTACACTCTGCAGTTGTCTCCTTTATCGACCACCATTGGGATATTTGTCTACCTTTCCCTGTTTCCGCACTATTGACCTCTTTTTCTGGACCCATTCTATACAAGTATATCTAATTGCTTGTTTTTTTCTGGGTACCCTGAGTTCTGTCATGGATCATCTCTCAAGGCCCTCCAAGATACTACATATGTATTGGTACCTTGTTCCTCTCGTGTTCAAGTGGCTGTGCTCGCATCTGGACACTCTTCTTCTCAATGTTTTTCTGACTCTTCTCAACATGTTACTTCCACTTTTCTGGTCCTTGTTCCTATGGTATTCAAGTGGCTGTACTTACATCAGGACCCTTTTATTCTCAATGTGTTTGCCACTTTTCTCAATACCCTGCTTACACTTTTCTGGTCCCTGTTCCTCTTCCCTCAGCTTTAGCTTGGGATGCATTTCATCAGGACTTTTTTTTTACCATGCTTATCCTCCTACTCATCTTCTTTGTGTTTTCCATCATTCTGAACACTCCATACTGACTGGCTCTGTCATGGTTTCCTCTATTGCACCTTTTCCTGTTCTCTCCTTTTCTTCCTCTATCTCTTTCACTCTTCCTATTCCTTCAACCTCACTCCTCCCTCTCCTATCGAGCAGTATCATCACTGACTTCATATGTTGGTTTTGTCCTGTCAGTTGCAAGGCATTTCGGACTATCTTTACGTGTAGCTGCTTTGTCTATCCTTGACAGTTTCACATTCCGTAGGTGGTCACTACATAATGTTTTCTTCCATTCCCTTTCTTTTAACACCCATCTTTCCAAATTTTTTTGTTGGCTGTTCAAACAAGGCTTATCACTTTAGACCATGGCTTGTTACTGGGCATCTCTATATAATACTTTCAGGTTTACTCGTTATTGTCATGTCTTCTCCTCTTCTGTTTTTTCTATGCTTTTTTTTTATTCTGTTTGCTACCTTTGTTCTCCTCATCTTGCAGTCCTTCCTGATTTGGACCTGAATACTGCTCTCCATGCCCTTACCTTTTGTCTCTTGTTCCTTATACCATCTTTTGCTTAGGTCCTACTTCTTACTTTTTGCCTGTGGCTGTAGGAGATAAGTATGGCATTGCTACTTCCCATATTTTTTCCTTTCATTTCTTGATATTATTCTTATTCTGTTCTGAATTGTTTTCTCTGTCCCATTCATGTGGTTCATTGTTCTTTGGCTCACTCTGCTCCTTTTCATTGTTTATGCTCCCCTTGATTTATTCTTTGGAATTCTTCATCTCCTCGAGATGTTTTTCCTATTACTGTCAAGGGATGGCTACAGCACCTCATCCATTTAGCCTGTGCTTTATTTGATGTACATTCACACCAACTCTTTCAAGTTTCTTCTCACCAAGTCGAATATCTTACTCTCTCTCTTACGTCATCCTTTGGAGGAGTTCATGCAATCTGGCATGTGGACTACCCCACTTACTTTTGTTGCATATTTTGTTCATCTTCTGGCTGTCTCTTCTTCTTCCAGATATTGACTTTCTCCTTTTACCATTCCACATACTCTTTATAGGCTCTGAATGGGTAAGTTCTCTTTTTATATATCTTACCTTTACTGTGGCCTACTTCTACATCTATGAATCCCACTCAATGGCGAGTGGTTCTTGCCCAGGTATACTTAACTTTAAGTCTGCACTTTGTGACTGATGAGATGAAGTATTCCACACGACCATATGTGTGTAATTTGTGGTATATTGCTTCATAAATAAGGTTTGTTCCAGACCATACCAACTCATGGACTATCATAAGTAAAGCAGTGTAAGGATTGCTGCTCATCCCCCCAATTCTAGTTGAATAAACCAAAACCAGCCTACTTTTCAAAATAGGGTTTTCATGGTCACCCATTGCATAGTCTTAGCTTGTTGCATTCCTCCTGACTCTCCACTGGTTTCTCCCCCTCTTCTAGTGGAGTATGGGAATTCTTGCCAGTTCCTAGCCACTAGGGTGGTGGACCATGGAGGCTTCCTTCTGGGTGTGACTACTTCTACTGAGTCAAGAGAAGAGTGGTGGTGTTCTGTTGGAGTAGATGGTGAGTACTCTCTGCCTAACACAGACTGGAAGACAAATAAGTGATGCTGCCTGGTTTTGAACTGGATGAATCCACCGCATGCAAGTCAGTTCCTAGGTGATCTGGGTTTGGATTGGCATAAGACCAACAACATAGGTCCTCACATATATGGTTGGTAGTAACCTTCCTCCTAACCCAAACTGGATGGAAAAATTCCCAATGCTGCGTGGTTTTGGACTATAGTTGACCCAACACGTTTGCCTTTCCACTTCCTACCATTGCCCTGAGATGTTGGGTTCCCAGGTGGACTGGTGTTGGTTGTCAGAACAGAAGTTGCTTTTCCCTTCTGCTTCCTGGTCTTGAGGTGAAGACAGTTGAGACGAGAAGAAAGATACTCAATGCCTCCTGAGTTTGTATTGGAGTTGACCCACCAAACACTGTCTGAAGATTCCTAGCCACTACACACCATCTAGCACATCCATTTACTGATTGGACTTGCATATTTTATGCCCAGATTAGTGACACATAATTTAACAGCAGGTACAAATGTGATGTGGTCTTCCATGAGTGTGACCCTATATCTTAGGGTATCACACTCCATGGGTCCTCATTGGATGCCTTTCAAAGAGTGCTCATCTAGGTAACTTTTGCACCTGGCCCTCCACCGTTTTGATGTGGGATTCTAGATATTATGTGAAAAGAGGTAAGATATTGTATCGGAAGTTAACATTTTCCAACGCTGGAAATATTTTTCCAATAGATACTTACCTCTCTCACACTTTCTACCCATCTTCCAGTGCATGTTTTTGCCTTATCTCAAAGTGATGATTGTGCTATACAATATAGAGGGAGTCAGCTGTGTTAGGAGAGTGTGTTGCATTCCTATGGTGGAAGGTTATTGCATGCTCATTTGCATACTACAATGTAGGTATACCATATGTAAACACGTGATGTTAGGTGTGAGCCTCAAATCTAAAGGCGAGTGAAAATTCTACATATAGAGGGCAGCACAAATTGATGAAAGCTATTATGTGAGTGGAGGTAAGTATCTATCAAAAATACATTTTCAGTGTTGGAAATTCATAATGTGTCATAAAGTATGAGGAATAAATTGCTAAAGTAAGGCAAAATTTTGCTTGACCTTTTTTTGTCACATTTTCTAACAAATGCAATGACTTTTGAAACACATTATCTACATTACACAACACCCAAACCTTCATGACATTTCATTTGTTTGTCAATAACAAAATAAACCAGGGAATACATCTACTGTGACATTTATGTTAAACTAGTTATTTATGTTTTAAAAAGGAGCATTTGTACTCAAAATAGAAAAAATACAAAAACATATAAAACATTGTGTACTAGGGTAGAGTCCAATCTGCAATACTGTGCATATTACACTGTTACCTTACTCACAAGGCTTCACTTTAGGTTGTATACAAAGCTCATGTCTAAATATGAACCTTACCAGCTGTGTGACATGGCTTTGTATGGGGAAAAAGTAAATTCAGACTTTTTTGAACAAGTGGACAGTAGCAGCTACACACAAAATGTTTTCTTTTATTGGTTAACCTACAGTTTGATAGACAACAGCCAGTGAAATTGTATACACAGTTCAGGTAGCACTGTATGTACTATGTGTGTATGTGTATTATATGATATGCATTGATGTTCAAACAGTTTTTGAGATATCTTGCCTCTGTGTTACATTTGAATTAACTTCATTCTTTTCCTTGGCATAGCCTGGAATGGGCATGTACCAAAATTGTTAATCATTTACTTCAGATTTGTGATAGTTAGAAGGAAAAAAAATTTTTGTATTACTCACCATTATGAATTCTCAAGTGATGGTAACTTTCTCTTCATCCCATGATAGTTGTGATGTTCATGGCACAGGACCTTTGGCTAATGGAGGCTCGTTGTCTGTGGAGGATGTGACCACCATTGTTTAACATGTTGTGGGTTCCTTCATGCTCATTGGCCTTCCTCCTCCCATCCATTCAGCCAGTGATCCCCAATTTGAACATGACCAGAATGAAAATTTTTTGTTACCAGCTATTTTCCCCACCTTGGTTTGCTCTCAACATAGCTTTATCTGTGGAGGAATATCCTCACCTTCTGATCTCTTCCTTGACATAATTTTGCAAGTATGTTCTATCTTTCTCTTTTTCCTGTGTCCTTTGATTCCTGCCTTTGATCCCTACATGAAAATCATACTCAGGATTACTTTGTCTTCCCTCCTTTACCTTATATTAGGGTCCATGCAGATTCATTTCTTGAACAACTGTGCACCCATACTAACATGTCTCATTCTCCTCATGTACTCTTTTTGTCCTGGCTTACAACAACTCTTCATTTCTGTTCCTAATTCTCAGTCTTTGGAATCTCTTTTACCCGTTTGTGGGGGGAGGGAGAGGGCAAACCCATTCACTTCTCTCTCTCTTTCTAGTACCTAATTTTCATGCATTCATCTTTTTATTACCACCCTCCTGTGTTACTTCTTGTCACTTAACCTTATTTCAGAGGCACTTCATTGCTTTCTGAAGAGATTCATTCTCTTCTTTTCATCACATTATCCCATAATTCTTCTGCTCTACTCCTTCTTACTTGGTTCCTCTGTTGTTGGGAGGGGATACTCTTCTAGCTAATGTATGCCTCCCTTGCACTTAGCACCAAGATTTGTCTAGCTCCTTTCCTTCACCCAGAGGTCTTCCTAAGTGTTCCTGACTCACTGGAGACCTGTGCCAAGGCAACCCGGCATCGGTTTTCATTGTCTACTTTGGTTTCTCATCTTTCCCAACTTCAACCTTTTGTTTCTGCTCCTAGACCTGCTGAATCCAGGTTTCCTATTCCAGTTTCCTAACATCCTTCTTCTTCCCATCCTCCCATTTCCCAACATCAGAGTCATCACTCATCTCTTAGGAGGCTATTCTATCAGGTTTGATGCTGTAGGAGCCCATCTGTCTTTCTTCACCAGCCTTTGATCTCCATTTTTGGCCAACAGATGGGTTCTTTGGGTTCTCACCACATAACCTATCACTTCTCTTCTCCTCCTCCCCTTTCCCTTTTTTCAGTTTCCTCTCCACCTCCCTTTGATCTCTTTTTATCTTCAGCATCTTGAGGATATGGTCTCGGATCTTGCCTAAGAATGCCATCAAGAGAGCTTTGACCCTACACCAGGTTTTTACTCTCATTCTTTGTGGTCCTATAAAGATCAGGGACTGGCATTCAATTATCAATCTATCATCCAGTTTCTTGTCAACCCTCAGTTCTCTAGCAAAGAAAGTTTTAAGAAATATACCTACCTTGAATATTAACAGTATCTTATACTAGCCATTTGTTACAGCAATGATTGTATTAGGCTTTTTATATTTTTTAACACTACATTTTTTTTGTTCATTCCCCCAGGCCCTGTTTGTTTGTTTGTTTTTTCTAAGAAGAAGAAGAGCATGTTATGGTATTTCAACTATATCAAATCCATTGCTTACCTCACATTTTGCCCAATACGAAGGTCATTATGCCAGATGAGATACAACAAATATAGTAAGGGTCAGAGCACTGTTTATACAAGTCATTTCTTATAACAACAGTTGTTATGGTATGAATGCCTTTTCTAAGCTGGCTAAACATGATTATAATTAATTATACTATCATAGGCCTAATAGCCTAATTCTAATATATTATGACAAGTATAATTAATTATAATCATTTTTATTTCATAAATATAAAAATTTAAGTTGTCAGTGTTTAAAACATGAAGTTGACATACTTAAAACTTCAACATCATTAGCATTGCATCATTTGGAGTGTGCGTGGAGGTGAGTATCTATCAGAAATACATTTTCAGGTAAGAAAAATGTTAACTTTCAAACCTAAAACTTAACTCTGAAAATTGCAAAGCTCGGTGTGGCTGAAGAATAGAATTTTTGTATTACTTACATTTCATTTACTGTTTTATTGAGGAAGATTTCTTTAAATAATGTACAATTTGTTTTATTATAATAATAATATCTGGAGTTGTTTTATATCCTAGGTTAAGAATATTGAAGCTGAGAGAGTAATGTTGCTGGCCAGTAACAAAAATCTTGCTGAGTTCAACTTGAATCGAGAGCCTTCCATGCTTGAAACTCGCCAACGGTTGGCCCATATGTATTCAGAAGCTCTAGAATTAAAAAAAGAAGTAGAAGAAAAGAAACAAAAACTTGGTTAGCAATATAATTATGGGTTGGTTAAGCTGTTTGGAACTCTACATTTGAAGAACTGTTTCCATGTCTTATACAAATTTCTAGTTTTACAATATTATTTATTATTTAAACAACATTGCTTTTAGGTAAGAAACATTTTGTATGAATTATTGAATTAGGCATAAAATATATTGAACTAAATAAATAAATAAATTGGCCAAATTATGGATTTTTATTGGCTTATTTTTATGAGTAGTGGTGCTTTTTTAACTGAAAAAAATTAAAACTTGTATTTTAATAATTAAAACTTGGTTGACAACAGACTTAACTAAAAATTAGTGATATGACAGGATTACAGCACTTACTGTAGACTAATATATAGTGTCTGCATTTGTTTGTACCTGTAGCAAAGAGACCATATTGCAAATGGACTTTAGTCGACATGACACTAGCATGTAGTGGAGTCATTTGTATGCACATGCAGTGAGTTGGGTGAAGTTGGAAGGCATAATAACCCCTTAACATCATTATAGTACTCCAGGGTACTCGTACCATCCTAGAGGAACCATTCCAACTTCACTGGTCCCCGATGTAATAAAAAATTAGAGAAATTGATATGATATTAACAATATTTATTACCATTGAATTATAAAAATAAAACAAATGCTCACTTATCAACCTACTTCAATGAAATTATTTTTTTAAAAGAAGAGGGGAAACAAATACTAAATAAAATCTGGCAAAATTTAAGTGTGATGTAGGAATGGCAATGCGAACTAGTAAAGAAACAAGGTAGGGATGAATACACTAAACCATATAAAAATCCCTACATAAGTAACCAATAAGTACTAAGTCAATCTTATAAGCTTATGGTTATTATTAGCCACTGTAAAACTGTATAACACAATTCAGTTTAAATGCTTTCATTCAAACCTGAATTCATGCGACTGACAGGAATTCCATATTTAGTTGTAGGTAAAAGTTAATGTTGGAAAGATTTTTTCTAGTTATGTAGTGTTTTTGTATGTTTATTTTTTTATATTCATCCCTACCTTGTTTCTGTACTTTATGGCTTTGCCATCACTACATCATGCTTAATTTTCCTATCATTTTTTATTTGTATTCTAATAATGTTAACCCTTCTAATTTGAATCTATTGCTTTAGTGTGTTGGAATTTCCTGATGAGGAATATTCTACTTAATTTCATCCCTACATGAAAACACATTATGATCTTCTTAAAGCATTCCAAAGTAATTAGTTTGGGTTGGCTATGCTTGAAATTAGGAAAATAGAAATACTTAGATACACTTGTAAAGTTTTCTTGTCCAAAATTGTTTCTTATCTGTGGTAAGTAATAAGTTGGTGTATAAAGACATTTTTTTCATATTGGTATATCATGATTTTTTTATTCAATTAAATATGATTGTTATTGATGGTAATGTCAATAACCTATTTGCAGTTTCTAAATTTTAATCATCAAAAAATATATTGTGTTAACTTTTGAGTCACAATATATTTTCTTCAGATGACATTTAATTTTTTTGTTTCTTTTAAGATGAGAAAGGTAGACAGGTATCACTGGACACAACTCTAGCTATTCTTCAGACTTCAGCTGCCCAATCAGAAGAGGAGACTGAAGTATGTGTGTTGTAAAATTTAATCAAGCAATTATTTCATCAAGTTAAAGTTCTTCCTAATCTGTTCTATTCAAACAAATAATATTCATATTAGCATTGGCTTTCATTATCAAAAGATTTTTTTGCTTCAGCACAGGATATTCATTTATTCATAATTTGATAAATACATTGAAACATTTTTAATCTAACCTGTTTGTACCTTGATCAAAGAATATATAGCTTGCTGTGGGACTTATCTCAAAATTGTTACTTTTTTGTTAGTAGATAATATAGTGTTAAGCAATCAATAGTGTCTTGTAGAAGCTTGTGTAACATAAAAGTCTATGATTGATTTTAAAAATTCAAAGTGGAATGCTTAATTGCTCATAAATATCTATGTACGTGTAGAAAAATGGCATCAAAATTTACAATTTATTATCTATTGCATGTGTAACTAGATGGATGAGTGGATAAATAGATGGACACAAAAAAAAGTAAAACGAAACTTCAACAATGCAAGTTATTTAAAGAAAATAAGTGTTTAATTCGTGTATAAATTTTATTCTTTACTAACCTGTGGTGTAAAATTTACTTTTGATAAGCAGAATCTTTTATGTGAAGACTGTATTGACCATTGACTTTAGTTAAGATCTTAAAAATAATTTGAATGGACAACTAAGACACATCCATCTCAAGCATGTTCTAGTACACTAAATGTAATAGATATTTGAAAATTACATGTGTTTATATATGGAAGGTCTGTAGATACTTCTGGTACACCAAGGACTTCTAAAATATTTTAAGTTTGCAGTGCATATTCTGTATGTATATTTCAAAAAATACTGTAATACAGTATCCTATGAGGTTTATTTTTTACATACAAAGTAAGTTTATCAGTAAAAAACAATAACACAAAAGATACATATAATTTATGAACTTGAACATTTTGGTTATTTAACCCCTTCACTGCAGTAGCAGTTTTTACTTCTTATTCCATGTGTGGAATTTTGTAAATTAATTTTGTTATAGTGTTGTAGTTGTTGCTACATAATTTCAAAACCACTAAAACAGGTTTTCCAAACCACATTTATCTCCTCTCACAGTTTAACTTTATCCTGACAAAAGTTTCTTTTTTTTTCCCATCTCCAGTCTTTATGCCCCAATATATCGCCCATAGTGATTTTAATCTTGTGACTTTCTCTCTTCATCTACATCAATGCGCCCTCTATAACCGATCCATAGATAAGCTCCCCTTTATTCTTTCTTATTCACTTTTTCTCAACAGCAAAAATTACGAAGACGGTCTTACGTGTTTATGGCAGGTTTTTCTTTAGTGTTATTACTACATTGTCAACATTTTCTTTTATATTATTTTAGATATTTTTCATTGTTTATTTTTTTTATTTTATGAAAAAAATATTTTTTTCTAATATGAATGCTCACATTCATATCTCAGATGCAGAGTTGTCTGATGCCCCTCCTCTACCAAATCACAAGTCCATGATTTTTTTGGGGGGAGGGCACTTTCCACAGAGGACATACGGTTCCTTACACACAGAGAGACAGTCTTACATATGGTCTGATGTTTTTTCTCATATTGTCTCTAAGGCTGAGTTGTAGGAAATCAACGGGGGACTAGTGAGACTTTAGACTATTTTTCCAACATCTTCCTTGTTCAGAAAACTCATACACCATGTGTGTCATGTTTTGAGTATTTCTCCTGTGGCTTATGACTTGACACCTTCCTTACTGGGATAAACTAGTTTGTCTGATTACCTGGTCCTTCCACCTTTGTCAGACATTGCTGTGCATGCAAGGAGATTTGCAGATCAATTGAGGGAGAGTGCTGCCATGCTGTGTCTTCCTTATGTATTGGATCAGTATGCCTTGGCTTTCCATTGCCCTTATATGGACTCTCAGAGGTTAGACCCTCTACTTCCTACTTGGGGCTCTAGACAAGATGCCACTGTTCATCTTACTTCATCTCAGTTTCCAGAATTTGTCTGTCACTTACAACAGTTTTACATTTTTTATCATCTTTGCAACTATTGTTTGAGGCCTATATTAGTTCCTCTGCTCAATTTTTGGAGGATCTTAGTCATATATTGGCTTCTACTTTGTTCTGGTTATCAGCTTCTGCTCTCTCCTAGGTATCTTGGTTGGTTTGTTGCTGGGATTTTTTGAAGAGAGGTGCTTTACTGGAGGGAGTTCACCTTTATGCATCAGACCCTAGAGTTCTTAGAGAAGCTCCCTTTTCTCCGACAGTCTGTTTTGCAAGAATTCTAGACTCCAAGGAATGTCGGGTAGTTGTGGCCTGTCTACATTCTTCGCTTTATGCACTGGCTTCTTGACTGTCCCAAAGTTCTTCCACGGGACAGTTTACAGTGTCTCTCGTTCGCATTTCCAGATGTCTCCTCCTCCACTGTCTCTTATACCAGTTGGTTTTCCACTCCCCAGGGACCCTCATACATCCAACTCTCGAGGACAAACCATCCACAATCTTCTGCACCAGGAGGTCATAAAGCAAGTCACCTCCTCTGTCAGGGTTTTTTTTTCTCTGATGTTTGTAGTACCAAAAAATATGGGTGATTGGCAACTGGTCATCGATTTTTCTTGTCCCACTTGCTTCCTCCAGTCCCCTCAGTTACAATAGAGTAGTTCTTTCCTTTCTTTGGCTCTTTTCACCCGAACTATGGAGGACATAATTTGACATTGCAAAGGCCTATCTTCTTATCCCAATTGCTGAGTCTTCAAGGTGTTATCTCAGTTTTGTGTGCGACAACCATGTTTTCCAGTTTCATGCTCTACCATTTGGCCTTACATCTGATCTATACATTTTTTGCTGGATAGAGCTTTTTTACATCATCTTCACACCCTCAACATTCACACTTACCATTAAATGAACAACTAGTTTTTTCTTGCCCTTTACCACCATTTGGCAGAACTGCACATTCAACCTCTGTTATCAGAATCTGCCATGGCTGAATTTCTTATCATAAAAAGAGAAGTCCATTCTTACTCTTATTCTCACTCCATACATCATCCATTTTCACTTCCAGAGTGAGCCAAGCCTTACCTTCTCCTCTACACCTTCCAGCCATGGTTTTTCATAAATAGTTGTCCTAGTTGTCTCCTTCTCCACCAGCATTTACAGTTCTATTTCTTTTGGGGATGTGGGCACCCTTGGAATCACTCATTCCTTTAAATCGAGCTCACATGAGAGCTTTTCAGTGGTCGTTACAGGACCAGTGAAACTTGCGCAGATGTGCTGCATTGTCTAGTGAGGCTGTCAGATTCCAGTTTGCTGGATTTCAGATGGTGGTTGGATAGGAACAACACAACAGTAGATGTACCTCTACCACCTCTGTGGTTGGGGTTACATCTGCTTACAGATGCTTCTCTTCAGGCCTAGGGTGCATTTATGGAAAATTTGGTATTCAAGGGACTTTGTACAGTAGAGGAAGCTTCTCTCCACATCAATCTCTTAGAACTTTTAGCAGTTCAATGGGCTATGAGTCAGGATCTCATTGTTGAGAGAGAAGGTGGTATTGCTTCATTTGGACAATTCCATAGTAGTCTTGAACATTTCAAAGCGAGGGGGCACTCACTCTAAGTCTCTTTGTTTTCGACCAGTGGATCTACTCCTTTAGGCACACAGCCACCAAATTGTTCTCCTTGCTTGTCATGTTCCAGGAGTATAGACTCTAGTGGCCAACCAGTTCTCATCCCAACAGAGTTCTTCCTATGTTCAGATAGATCCGGTTCATCTTTTTATGACCTGCTTGGGCTCGCTGATGTTACATTGGTGCATTAAAGCATTTATTTATCCATTGAAATCCTTGGGTATCATGCAACTTATCCACTGTCACTTTGACAAATTGGATTCATCATTCATTCATAGCTTACTCTCCCCATCATTGGAGGAGTGGAGACTTATTCAGGCCTTATCTCATCATGTTTGACATATATCGATGTCCCTGGCAGCTTAGTTGTGTTACTCACAGGAGGAAATTGTACAGGCTGGTATGTGGATCACACCTAACATCTTTATATCAAACTATTTACATGATTTAACAGTCTCCTCTTCGGAATGGTTTTGATCCACCTGTGGATATTCTATGTGCCACAGTTCGATTGGAACAGTGGTGAGTAACTTCATTTCATTTGTGCTTTTCAGGGACCCTCTCATCATTCTCATGTAAATCCCACTCAGTGGCAAGTGTTGACTGGTCGGGTATACTTTTATAAATCTGCACTAACTACCAGTAGACTGATAACTAGATTCCTGGTAGCAACAAACTCTGTTGAGAGGGGGTGTTCCATAAGACCAACTTGGCACTTTCTCGTGGTGAACAATTGTTCTATATCAAATATAATATACTAGCTGAGTTACCCAGCGTTGCACGGTGAAAATTTAGGTTTGAAATGTATAGATCAGTATTTTTTTCAGCAAGTTATTCAGTAAGTAGACAAAAGCTGTGATGCAAGAAATAAAAAAGCATTTAATCAAACAAAGCTTTATTTGAAAATAGATCGTGTTTGAGCTTGTCTTGTTCTTTGAGCCTGAAGTCGTACATCATGTTGCTTCTCTGTTTCTTGCTCTCTGTAAGTTATTTGGCTTAATTTTTGTGCTTAAAGTTTGGTTTGATGTTGTTCAGAAGTTTCTTGTTGTGTATATTCAGCTTGCCTTGATGATTCTGGCTTTGTGCTGTTCAACAATTTCTTGCTGTCTTTGAGTAGCCTGCCTTTCAGCTTGAGCTCGAAGTCTAACTTTACATTGTTCCAAAGTCTCTTCCTGTATTTGAGCAGCCTGTCTTGCAGCTTGTGCTTGAAGTCTTTGATTGCATTCTTCTTCTGTTTCAGCTACTCTTTGTGCTTGCATTCTTTTAGCGGCAGAATACTTTCCATAGAAAGGGCGTTTCATGGGTGGCATAATCACCTTTATCACTAAACAATAACTTACAATTCACAAAGTTACTTTAGCACTATTTAAAGAAAACTGTTTTTGGAAATACTGAATTG